GCCGCAAGAATGAGGCAACGAAACGATGGACTCACCAGCTTCATAAGGCTTCCCTCGTGCTACGCTCAAACCGCCAACACGCTCATACTACCCCGAAACGCACAGCCTTAAAGTACACACCCGGAGCTGAACGCTAGCGACCTCCCTAGGCTTCTGTTTTCTCCTGTCTGTGGGTCGAACAAAAGTCGAGAAGTTTGCCAGCACTATTAGCTGCGTAGTTCCACCACTCCATCGCTGTACAACGACTCCTCTTAGCAAAGAGAAGAGTTAAAAGGCTAACTTGTTTGTTGTTTAGTGTGAGCACCGTTGTGTCGGTCGATCTGTCTGTCCATGACGCTAGTTCTGTTCGCTGGTTCGTATCAAACGAACCCCCCACGGGTTTGCCACGAAGGTGTTTGACTACAGAGATTCGTACGTGTAACCTTTATCCGCTAGCGGCAGTGGCGGTAGCATCAGTTTCGCTCCCAACGCACCTAGGTCCCTAACGGTCCCTGCAGGCTATCCGTGCAGTTGCCTACTTCAAGACTCTGTCTCAACGCAACTCTTCTTTCATTGTTAGCCGTTGCTGTACGAGCTAGCACAGCAACAAAGCTGCTCCCGAAAACAGCTACCAATCTTCCCTAGGCCAGCCAGCCACCTTTCGGTGTGGCCTATTCTCGGCCAATAACAGTTCGACCATTCGTAAGCCAATCGTTTGTCTGCTCTCCTGCCGAAGTAACGTACAGCTTTTTAAAAAGCAATCCTTTAGTAAGTGAGTTAGAGGTGAATGATGAACCGCTGGTTCGTTTTTCTCGAATACGTTCTAGGCAAAGTTATTTCTTTCTGTCCCACCGGTGGCGCCGAGCGTCTCGAGTTGGGACGAGGTGACCTTTCCCCATTGAGTTCACCCGCTAGTTTGTTCCCAGACTTGCCCTGACACTTATCGCTGCTCTCGATGACGCTCCGCAGTACGTAAAGACTACTCGCGCTAGGCCGAAGAATAGGTCATCAAGTTCGGACCAGACAGGAAGGCATCCGCTGGTTGGAACAAAAGCGAACCTTCAGCGGAGTGAGTGTCAATAACAGGACACGGTTATAGGCGAAGGGGCTTTCAAAAGTTAGTGACGAATGTGGCGTTGTTGCAATCGTTGTTACTGTCGACGCTGTGAGTTTCCGCTAGACGCGTGACGCTCTCTCTGTTCCTCGGGTGTCGTTCGCGTACTCGCGTGAAATGGCCCCCCCCTTACCTCTGCAGCTGCCGCTGCGATACAAACCCGGGTCGATTGTCGATCGGACACGGTGCCGTAGAAAGTCAAGCTTGGCCCCACTCGTTGCCTTGAGCGCTTAAAGGTTATCAGTCACAGGATCGAGCGGTCGAATGCAAATAGGCGCAGCAATGTGAAAGCAGCACAGTATCCAAGTCCAACTACTGTTACTGCCGTTGCCCTCACTGTACCAGTAGAAGCGGCAAGGAGTGGGGTTACAGGCGGCTTTCAAAAAAATGGGGCATTAGTCAATAGCGAACACGAAACCAGAGAAAAGCGATGGAAAGCATATGGAACGATGCCGCTCAGGGAACGCTCAACGTACTCAAAATAACAACAATAACAATGACAATGCGTTTATATAGAAACAGAACTAGGCAGTGAAAGAGTGCAAGTCAGTGTCTATCAGGCCTTGTTTCCATAAAACACATGAAAATATTTGCATCCAAAAAACATGAGCGATATTACTTAGCTGAAACATTTTTGAATTTCCTACCGCTTTATGTTTTTCTTGCGATGCATTAAGCAGTTCGATGACACACGATAAATCGAAATAATAACACTATTAATACTAAATAGTACATATTGTGATGTACATAAATATATAGTAGCATTGATTGCGCATCATGTTATTGCTGGATGACAGTGAATCCTTTTTGGGAGGTGAGCAACATATGGCCACAAATGTGATTTTTTTTAACTTATGGATGGTGAAATATCCCGCATTTCATAGCTAGCGTTAAGTGGACTTGGTAATTCTGTAGCGCTTTTACTGTCCCGTGGCAAAAAACTGGACAGTCACTTTTCATCGCGTTCCTGCCCGACGTCAGACCGTAAAAGCGGCTCCATTTTGGGTCTATGAAGACATGTGGCAGGCCTAGTTGCCTAGCACTACTCCACCTGAGGCAGCTACCAAGTCGCCGACCTGGGCCAAGACCGTGTCGGTCACTCATCAGTATAATTGAGTGGTGAGCTATTACGCCACAAACAGCATGTGGCCATCGGGACAGAGCCGCGACCTCGTCGTTTGTGCGTGAATCCATACAGACACATATATCCACACAGTACAGCATAAATAGACGACGAGTTGACTGCCAGTTTCCCAAGTTCCTGTTGTCGTTTAGGTTCGACGCAAATCTATTGGGACGCATAAGACATGGTAGGCGACATGGGCCATCTCAATCTTTCGCCTTTCACGTCCCTTACGCGAATCCTCTGTTACAGGCCGGATAGCAAGCCGCCTAAGAATCCACTGGCAGACCGGTAGTATGCTCTCGACGTTTGCTGCTATCGCCACATAAGAAGATGAGCCAAATCTTGCGGAAGATCTGTCAATAACGCTGTGATGGACGGTGCTCGGTATAGCTGTCTTAGGTTCGTTTAAGACCCGCCACGAATCTCGCAAAAAAGACAAGTCGACAAGGCGACTGAGAGTCGCCTAGCTGTTTAACATCGACCCCCTAGAAAGTCCAGTATGAGGGGTTGGCTAGCAGACAGGGAGGTAGTCAGTTATGAAGTAAGCTGGAGTGGGCTATAGGGTTACCCGCTCTGCCGGAAAAGGTAAAGCGAAAGCAGCCAATGGGAGGTGGAACCTAGGCTAGATCTCAAAGAGATCTTCGTGGATTTTTGTAATGGAAAAAACTGCGGCTGATGTTATCAGAGTAAAAATAGAAGATATATTGTAGAAAATTGTACTACCTAATAGAAATTGTTAGCTGTAAATATTGATGCATATCCATACATGGGCAGAGAGCAAGAGCCGTTGAGTGCACCATAGATATCTGATCATTTTCACCCTGTATATGTAATGACTTAACACAATAAAGGAAGGTCATTTACTTTGAAAGGGAAGATCCGAAAGATTCACCGGGCAAAGACAGGATCATTAGCTCTGTATTTCGTCCAAGATATCATCTCTACCAGAAACCATGGTCATATCCTTTAATATTTTCCCATACAGTTACGAGTCCGTAATTGCACTTCCTAACAAAGCGAGTGTTATGATAGGATGACCTTCAATATATTTATATGATGACATCTGGCTAATAAAGAGGCTATTTTGATTTTAGTTTATTCAACGTCTGTCGAAGAAACCGACTGAGTTTATGTACATCTATTAAATGTCAATCGAGGAAAGAGGGTCATCATCGGCAAACCAGAGTATGCCTGTATGCATCATCATCAATGACGAGATACACCGTTTGGGCGCTGCGGTTCATGTTCTGCGTTTGCTTAGATATCAGATGATAATTCCATCACTAAACATTTGTTATTTTTAGTTTTACCACTTATTGTTGGTACCACTCCACTTTTAGGAAAAAAATAAGCAGCCGACAAATGGAAGTCTGCCTTGTCGCTATAAAGCTATCTGAGATGCATCAAATGACTTGTACTTGACTTAGTTAAAATGGTGTACCCGTATGTACCGTGGAAGCTATTTCCAATGTAATGTGAATAGATAAACTACATTATATAGAACGGCCAACAACTCGCATGGTGCCCGATCAGTAAATAACCTATTTTCGCAACTTGAAAGTTACAGTTTTTTTAAGTATCTTCTCAACGAAGGCCTACACAGTTTCAAAGGATGGCCTGAAGCATGCTATATATTTTTTTTCTAAGAAAATAACTAACTTGTGAATCATTTGCATTTCCTCCAACCGTATCACATAACTGCAAATCTAAAATCGTTGATGTAGAGCGCTCTTTGTCGAGTGAATCACGTATAGCCTCTTCTAAATAGGCCTAATTGTTCACAGAAACCGGTACACCCTAAATGCGTTCGGCGAAGCTCTTTCAGATATATCGCTGAAAATAACTTGGCCTAACTGACACCAGGTAGACCGCTCTTCTTCAGGAACGCGTCGGGCCCTCGCTTAGGATAGCTTTTTAGGATAGCATCAGCTGTTTCTCTCCAACGATCGAGATTCTCTGCATTTTTTTGTTGCATTTTCAGGTTGAGCACATCCACTGACTATGTGGCAGCCAGAGTAAACGTATAGGGTTTTGAATGTGACACCGATGAGGAGCTTGTGCGCGAACTTCCTCATTGAAATGTCGCATTGATAAGTGTGCCCTTTTCATTGTTTGCACTAAAGAAGGAAGTTGTATACAATTTGGACAAAGAAGAGGAATACATCGTTTGAACATGATCTAATATATATACCGAATTAATTGAAACCATTGACAGCGAAATAGATCATGTGGGCGTGTGTTTCGTCAAGCTCCCTGGCGCCTAACGATACAATCAGAGTGCAAGATAAATACTGTTTGTAAATTCTTCACCCGCATATTTAGAAAATCGCACTTAAAAGGTTATTTCGGATATTGACCTGGCTGATCTCTAAAGTACCCTATGTCACTAATATCTCACTGTTGGATTACATAAACCCACTTGTCTGCTAATATCATAGAAAAGGCGCACGCTTTTTTTCCTAAAAAAATTTCAAACAAAGAAATAATCAAATTGTATGTGGCAACCCCACACAAGTGCCCCAAGTGAGAAGCCAATTTTTCACATTATACATATAACACATGCAAAACTGCTGGCGGAGAAAGAATATTAAAAACTTGGCAGGCATTTTATATTTCTAGTGATTTGTCTTGCTTGGCGCTACGTTGAATTCAACGCAACACTAAAACTAAAAAGATTACTCCGGTCCAGCCTGTTCATTCGTTGCGCATAGGCTCTTATGCATGCCTAAGTGCCTTCTACGCCTCGCAGTAGTTGCGGCTGTAGTAGGTTCATCTACTTACCAGTGAGGCTGGCCTTCCTTGCGTGGACGCACACTCCAGCACCACTGTTTGCCCCTCGATGAATGGTCCTAACAGGGCGCCAGGTTCAAGTGACCGGCCGTCTAGCCGCATCACCGGCTCTTGGGGCTCCACTGCAAAAACAACCGACGGGACACACAGGACGCGAAGAAGCATTACAATATTATTATATTCGAAGCAGACATAGAGTTAAGTCATCTTTGTCGTCTTAAACATCTCGGCTGGTCACTGTTGACAACGGCGGTCGGATTCGATCTCCCCGATCTCAGTCAATCTCTTAGGTATGATATGTACATGTGTGTGTTCTGATACAATTGACTTGGTCACAGGTCAATATATGTAAAGGCGAAAAATTTACAATAAAATCTCTACAATATACTGTTGCGTTACTTGAATGATGATTTTTTTTTTTTTTTTTTATGTTTACGTTTGTGTACCGGATTCTTAATATCAATTAAAGGCATTTACGCCTGCTGTTTGTTTCATAGAGGATACGTGCGCATGTATACCCCAATGGCATAAGCGCGACACAGCCGAGCGAATGTTCGAATGAAAGTGATCATTTATCTTTGTTTGTTTTACTGTTATCACGAATACCATTATTTTTAACCTTTATGTATATACATAACCATATCCTTGAGATGACAACGAAACCATAGACACCCTTTTCTATTAAACACAAGTTCTGCTGAAGTTATAATATCATTTTGTTCTATCTGCCACCCGTTCAACCAAATCGTAAAAACAATACTAACATTCAATATATCTTACAGAGTTCGCATCATCTTTCCGATCGAACTATAACTTCATAAGCCTAAAATATAGATTTAATCATAATATCAGCTTAATCAGATTGTACACATGTGGGGTGACGTCAGAATTTTAGAACTAATCTCAATGATGCATTAGCTCAGAACCAGATCCATTGTTTTGGAAATGGCCGTAAATGCATTACGTTTCCGTATAAGCAACGTAAGCACATATGTATTGACAAGATCGCCGTGCACAGCCGCTACACATCCCCACATTTTACGCCGTTAATTCCCTTGGCAGTCTGCACGATTCTTCAATCCCACTCCATATATCTATGCTTCATTCAGTATATCGTAATGGCAGTAGCTTGCTTGTATCATCCTCCAACGATTTTGGGGGTTTTTTTTTTTATTTCGTTATCTCTGTCGATTCTTCGAATTCCACTGTCTCGCTTGACTCATATGCAAATACAATATCAACAATGAGACGCGATCGCCGATCCGATCGATACAACTGTCAGCTAGACTAAGACAAACTCAGTCGATTGATTGCCAGCGGGCGAGAGCCCTCGAGATCATTGCGGTAGCACAGATACAAACACACGTTTGAGCATAGTTTGATAGGGGGATCCTGAAAGAAATCAAAAATACCACCTTGCTCCCCCCCCCCCCCCCCCTTCAAACAGGGAGATCAAAATTTCTATTGGATTATGAAAATGTTTCGCTTCACCTTGACGCTCACAGAGGCGCTTATCGTTAAAGTATTACGCCATAGACATTTAATCATCCCAATAGGTTTTTAATGTCAACGAATCTCGCCGACTTTAACCGATGACGATTGCAATACTCAGTGTTTAGTGGCTCCTACCACAGGCTCCACACGATGGTGTCCTACTATCGTAGGCTATACAAACCTAAATTCTAAAATAGTTACCTATTAACATTGTGTCTATCTGTCTACCACCATTGCGGATACAGCATTTTATTAAGCGAGACGCTGAGCGACAGTAGAGGTAACGTACAAAATCCATAAAGGGGTAAACTGAGAAATTTATTTCTCTTTGTATTGCTAGACTCAGCTCGTTCTCGTAGCATAATGGTACAAGTTATAGTAAATAGATGAAGAACCTTCATCTAATAGCAAATAGGATTGGCTGGATCGGATATACGGATATTTACAAAACCCCTTGACAGATCTCCTAGACAACAAGACAGCAGCAGTCGAAACAATACAGAAAGGGACGCTGAGTGACAACACTTGCAACCGGAGGACGGCGAAGTAAACAGAATCATTGTATGTCAGCAGCCCGTATGTTGCTCAAACACAATTTAGCCTGAAAAGACCCATCACAAAGCCGGAGCGGAAATCGTTCCTGAAATCGGAGTCATCGTGCCTTTGCTTGCCATCGACTAAGCTTTGCAGACATGATGTTCTATCGACTCGTGTTGATTTGTTGTCGTTGCCATTGGCTTACCTTTGTATCAATGCAGACGTCATCATCAGCATCGCTATAGGCACCAGCGACCTCAAAAACATCAGCGGTAGCAGCGATGGTACACGTATTTTCAAGGCAGAGTCAATCCATACTGATGCACCGTGACACATTGTGTAAAGAAACAATATAGACACGCTACATGCAACGACCGATACTGAAAATCTTGCGGCGCCTCGGGAGACGACTCTGCTTACAACGTTGGCGGCGCTTGCCGACACGAACCGGTCCTGCATCGAAGTGTACAGGAACGAGCTCTGCGTGTACACGAAGGAAAGACCCAGAATAGAAGCTAACATTGTCCACGAAGGAAGTCAATCGTAATAAGAAATCGCTTAAGCAGCGGTAGCAGTTCCCATCGTCGTTTATACATATATCCAAAGCTCACAGCTGAAGGAGTTGCGCCGCTGATCCACGACAGTCACAGCTAATTTACCGACACCAAAATATACATGGATAATTATTATAAGGCACCAAAGCTATAGTAACGGCATATCTATATATCAATAATCTGTGATCGCCTTGATACTGATCAAAATTAGATGCGATTGGCACTCCTATTTGCCCATTTTGTAACACGGTACCGTCTCTCAAAGGGGCCTCAAAGGGTCGGGCGTTTTTAACATAAACGTCACAATCGATGACATTTATCAATATTTTTATTTCATCAATGCAGTTTATACATACACTGTGAAAGCTAACAATCAACTGGTCGCTATTATATAGATTGAATAGAACGCATTTACGATTTAGTACTGCTATTATATCATATATACGCTAAGAATTTCGCCAGCCGTACGAACCAAACTCGATGTACGATAGCTTGAATCGTTGACGAAAACAACTCTTTTACGATAATACATGGGCGAGGTGCTGACCATCTAAACAGTGAATGAACACAATATAGGCTGAGATGCATCGTAGTACATAGTTTGTAAGCGTAGTACTACTCCCCGCAGTGTTAGAGATCGGGTAAGAAGGAACTGTGTAATGCTCATGACGAACGTCATAAATTCATTCACTTGATTGCTTCGAATTATTATAAGCAATGCAGAAGGCATGCACTTCTTGATGGAAGCGACGGCTGGAAGAAATATTTAACCATTTTTCGAAATAGATCGGCGTGGCCACAGTTCAGTTCGAGCGTGTCTTCCTGCAGACACAAAAATCTAATAGAGAACACCGACGTTGTCAAAGTCGCTCACATCTATAACAACATTAGGACCATATGGTAAAAGAAAGGAGCTTACTCAACTTACGGACGCTACCCGGGCGCTTACTTTTGAAAATTTCAAAGTTTTTCGCGTTTCACCAGCTAGCTTATGGCTCAAGCAGACTATATTGTAAAAATAATGCCTTCACTACTACACAAACCTGCACCAATCGTTCATGGTACAATTCACAGAATCGCGTTTCTATTAAAGAAATATATATATATATATATATATATATATATATATATAACTTTACCTGATTATCAAATTTTATTAGTCGGACATTTGGACACGCGATTAATCTCATGGTTACAGACTCTCTTTGAGCAATTATTATCCTCCTTTCAAATAAGGTACAGGCAGGTCAAGTGTACATTTTCTCTCTTTATAGTCTTCGCGATCCGAAGTATTTCGTTCTTGTTGAAACCGTATAATTTACTCAAGGTATCGTCGTGCACTCTCCCTACCGTTTAGCATGGTTACCTCAGTTCTTCGTTTACCAGCTCTATGCTTACCATGGCTACTTCTGGTGTTGCCTTTATAGGAAGGCCATTAATATTGGCTGGTGAATATCTAAGTACCTCTAGCCTCACCCTTAACTCCTTTTTCTTCCCGACGCGTCGCTTTTTCGCCGTCGTCGTCTTCTTCTTTTTTCCCTGAAGGTAGCTACTAAACCGTGCCCATGAGGTTTCCTGTGCCCCCAATATCCGAATTACTCCCATATTGGTCCGTTCGCTACACTCTTTCATTGCCGTTTATCCTAGGTTCGACCGCAGTGGCATCTTTGAGGAACGGCGATCCGGTTGGCAGGCGAGCCTCTGAAAGTCTTTTGAGGACCATGCTCTTTTGCCCTTGGTTCTTTCTGCCAATGTTGGGTGTGGCGGTTGGAAAGGAAGACTCAGGCACCCCCTGGCCCCTTCATGACTGCCAATACAATCAGCCGGCCCGCTGTAGACTAACGTCTCGATAAAGCCTAACGGCAAACGCAGTAGCAGGCGAAATGTTAAACCCTAAACGAAAAGGAGGGGTGAATGTGCAGTCGATGCTGCTGCTGACAGGTTGCTATAGCGGCCATTGCTACACAACCTGATCTTGATGCTGTTGTAGGTATTGTTGCAATATCCACTTCGAAATCGGCAGCTTTAAGTTGTTGAGTGGCTCAGTATTTCAACAGGTCATTCAGCAACAATAAGGATGAGTTCTAGATCGATAACGACCTAGACCACAATGACGAGACCGAACGTGCGGGACATTAGTAGAAGTCGAAGTGTCCATTCCGATAAGGCCAGTTGCTTTTGTTCGTTAGCAAAAGTCAGTATCGTGTCTGGCTTAGTTGGGTTAGGAAATGTTAACGCAGGCTGGTATAGCTGGTCACTACCAACTGCGCAAGCCAAATCGCCTCCAGCACCGAATTTCTGACGGAGACACTTGATTGCCCATCACGAACGGACGTTTACCGTGTAGCATCGTCAGCCACGGTTCCTACCACAACTACTTGTGGTACCATTGCTGTTGGCACATACACTTCCACCGCTCGTTTTGCTCCTGTACACAAAAATAGACATTTATCCTCTTTCTGTGACCATCTTCAGTCGTACCACTTTCCGGTAAAGCTTCATTCTTCTTTACCTCCTTTTGAAACACTTGCCAGTTG